GAGAAAAGGTTTGAGACAGTACATATTCTCTTTCTCTCTCTCTCTCTCTCTCTCTCTCTCTCTGTCTCTCTCTCTCTCTCTCAATTTTATAGCTGACAGTAGCATATTAAGGAATTTTAGAAGTATTGTAAAAAATAAACCTCTTTAAACCCTATGTAATTCAGCTTAACTAAACCATGCTTTGGAATCCTTTGCCTACTTTGCTGATAGGCCTACTATTTTCAGAACACTCCTTGGAAAACTGCATTAAGCAGGTACATAGCTCCTATGGAAAATATTTCAGTAGGTTAACCTACTTCTTGTACTGAATGTTTTAAATTTAGAACGTTGATTAAATGAAAGAAATAAGCTGAGGCCTAGAGAATCCACATTGCTTACAGATTTTCATTGTAATGACATTGACTGTTTTGCTTTAATTTTTCCCCCTCAAATCTTATGAATTACAGAGTCTGTATTACGATCCTCATTTTATAAATGAAGGGGTTTGAGAGGTTGAGCAATATGACATAAGATAAACAATTATTTAGGGAAATGGTCCAAATGGACACTTGGGTCTCTTGGCTAAAGCATGCTGACGATTTATTCCATCTTTCCTCTGGCTTCACCATATCAGGACGGGAATGTTGTGTGAAAGGGGTGAGAGTCAGCTGACCACTTTAAGAATCAGCCAGGCCGAAACCGGTTTGGCTCAGTGGATAGAGCGTTGGCCTGCGGACTGAAAGGTCCCAGGTTCGATTCCGGTCAAGGGCATGTACCTGGGTTGCGGGCACATCCCCAGTAGGAGGTGTGCAGGAGGCAGCTGATCGATGTCTCTCTCTCTCATCGATGTTTCTAACTCTATCTCTCTCCCTTCCTCTGTAAAAAATCAATAAAAAAATATATATTAAAAAAAAAGAATCAGCCAGATGATTCTGCAGAGCTTCGACACCAGCAAGACCAGGGTGGGGTCATGGGGAGATTTGCTGGCTGCTGCTTTATTTGCTCATTTTCCAGCCCGAGAAATTTGCAGCGGTCTGTGAGGCTTTGGAGAAAGGAGGTGTGAAATGGAACAGCCGAGGACCCCCTAACAAAAGGTAGAACCCATCATCCAAGACATTTGCTTCTGTATGGCACCTTCCTGTCTGTAAGGCTCACTTCCCGAACGATATCTGGTTCCCAGGGACATCCAGTAGCAGGCCCGAGCAAAAGCTCACTGTTGTCATGTGTGCTTTAGTAAACTATGCCAAGAATGAGGGGAGAGGCACAAAGCTAACAGTCAGCTTTTATTCCATGAGTAATTTTACATCTGTGGCTTTGCTGAACACTGCCATTGCTGCTTTCCAGGTTCTATGAGAAAGCCGAGGAGAGCACGCTTCCCGACATTCTCCAGGACTGCATGACATTATTTCACTCCGAGGCATTGTTCTTGCTGCTGTCCAACTTCACAGGCCTGAAACTTCATTTCTTGGCCCCTTCCGAGGAAGAGGAGACAGAGGGCACAAAAGAGGGAGAAGCAGCCACTGGTTCTGAGAGCAGTGAAGAAGGGACGAGCTATAGCTCCTCGGAGCCAGAGAATAATCTGGCAGCTGCCAGCAACAACAGCCAGCAGAGCAGTGAGCAGGCAGACCCAGAGCCCGAGGAAAACAAAGCCAAGGAAGGTAAGCTGTTGTCATGGCTTGTCCTGGTCTTCCAGTCAGCACTCACCAGTCATTCATCCAACAAATATTTCTTGAGTATCTACTGTTTGTTAGGTCCTGTTTTGGGAATTGGAGAAAAAAACACAGACAAGGTCCTTGCTGTCCTTGAAGCTTACATTCTAAAAGGAGAGGACAGCCCAGCCAGCATGGCTCAGTGGTTGAGTATCAACCTGTGAACCAGGAGGTCATGCGGTTCGATTCCTGGTCAGGACACATGCCCGGGTTGTGGGCTCGATCCCCAGTGGGGGGGCATGCTGGAGGCAGCCGATAGATGTTCTCTCTCATCATTGATGTTTCTATCTCTCCCTTCCTCTCTGAAATCAATGAAAGTATATTTAAAAAAAATAAGAGGTGAGGATAGATTAATTGTATACGCCAACAGCTAAAACATCAAATAATGGCACATGTTATACAGATCATTTCAATAAGGTTATGTGCTGTGGAGTGGCAGAGCAGCCTCTTAGGTGATGGGCAACCTGGGAAAGCCTGTCGGGAGCTCTCGGCTAAGCTCAGATCTCAGTGGTAGGAAGAATCTGCAGGAAGAGCATCGCAGATGGGAGGAACGGCTGGTATATCTTATTAGTACCAATGGTGGGGAGAGAGATGACTGGCTTTGCCTAAAATTACTCTCCAACACAAGAACATAAAGGAGAGGAAGGTGAGCAGCTTATTTCTGCTAATGACCAATAACAAACTACAAAAAACTTGTTGGAACTTGGATTAATAGAGAGAAGGAATTATTAAAAGTAAGAATAGAAAAATACAAGACACTTAAGAGGTAACACTTCTGTGGGAATTTTGGCCGCATTAACTGAGCAGCTACAAATTCAGCTTAAATGTTATGGCACCTATGAAATCAAATCAGAAAGTCTGTTCCCCAGCTCCTCTGGTCAGTTTACCTGCCCTGCTTCCACTCTGATTTCTTGAGAAGGGCCCTGTGCAATCAGAAGAGCAAAGATGAAGGAGGGGGATACCGTGGAAATGAGACCAGCAGAGTGAGGTGCTGACCACACACAACATAACTCGGGGTCTTTAGTCTGCCGTACTGTCACTTTGATCACCACAGATATTTAGAGAAACCAAAGTATTTCTCCACTTCTTTTCCTTTTTTATTTCGTTTTTATGGGAACATGCAACTTGGAAGAAAATTTACACTAGCAACCAAAAGGTGCTTATTCTGTTACTGCGCATCTGCTGTGTATAAGGCCCTGGCCAGAGCCAGGGGGGAGTACAGAGATAAATGAGAAAGGTCACTGTTTACCAAGTTTAGCATCTTAAAGGAAAGCTAAAAAGCTTTTTTTAATAAAAGCTATGAAGTTGCTGAGGCAACTTAAGCAATGTTAATTCAGTAAGATACCCAGACCTGACAATTTTAATTTTGTTTTTTAAAATATATATTTAAAAAATAACGTCAATTTCAGAATGTTTAGAAAAACAAATTATTGTCATTCCCTTGCAATCTAGCAGTGGTATCAAGGTTATTTTCATACTAGAGGCCCAGTACACGAAGTTCATGCACAGGTAGGGTCCCTAGGCCCATCTGTGGGGCAACTGGCAGGTTGATTGGGGGGGCCCCCCTGGCACCCACCTTGGCCGGCCTGGGGCCTGCAGGCTGGGGGCAGCTCCTACATTGAGCGTCTGCCCCCTGGTGGTCAGTGCGCATCATAGCGACCCGTCATTCTGCTGTTTAGTCAATTTGCATATTAGACTTTTATTATATAGGATTTTCTGACCTTTTCCTTTTTTCTTAGAATCAAGTGTTCCCATGTGCCAGGGGGAACTGAGGCGTTGGCAGACTGGTCACTACACTTTAATCCATGACAACAGCAAGACTGAATTTGCTCTGGACTTACTTCTTTACTGTGGTTGTGAAGGTAGGAGGGAGGATGGGAAGCAGTGACTGTTTCCTTTAGGGGCAGTCTCTCCTGCATGCCCCTCTCCACCTGAACCAGTTCACAAGTATGTGCTTTGTCCAGGATCTCAGAACACAGGAGCTCAGTGTTGGGAGGAGCATTAGGGGTCATGAATTTCAGCTTCCCAACTCAAAGTGGGATTTGTACCTGTGACCAGGGTGTGGGAGATGGACTGAACCATACATACTTGCCCTCCCAGAATGCCCCCCTCCCCGATCTACAGCTTTTATGTAATTGTCCTTTAATTTTACACTTAGTTCTTAGTGTTCAGTTCTTTAGTGTTGGGTGGTAAATTCAGGCTCCTAAGTCATAGGGTTGGTTACTACTAGACTCCCAATCCCCCATTCACGCAGCATGGGATCAGTGGTCTAAGCAGCACATGTGACACTTGCAGTGAGAGCTTTCTGACCGCTGTTTGTTTCCCCTTGTAAGGCTGGGAGCCTGAATATGGTGGCTTTACTTCCTACATTGCCAAAGGGGAAGATGAAGAGGTAAGCTGCTCCTGATAGCAAACTATCTTTTTAGTTCTTGATGCTTTCCTTCTTCAAAAGCCCAATTTTTATGAACTACCAATGTCTTTAACCAATAAATCCATGTTGGTCTGCCTGGCAGTGATCTAGTAATTTTATGCGGCATGGAACAAAGATGCTAAAGCAGCAGTTCTCAACCTGTGGGTCGCGACCCCTTTGGGGGTCGAACAACCCTTTCACAAGGAATGATAATCACTAAGATTTATTTATTCTACCCTAAGAAATTCCAAATGAATTAAGAGCCGCATGGTACATTCCCATCAGTTTTTCAATGTAATAAATGAATGCATTAGGTGAAATTTTTCTGGGTATGTATTGGAATGGGGTTTGTTGGAAAATGACTTGACAGCCAGAGCAATAGCTCTTCCTAGTAAAAGTTCTTTACTGTCCCCTATGCCAGACTTAAGTACTTGATATGGAAGTACTTGATATTCATGTGTTCAGTGATGAATCACTGAAGAGTTTAGAATAAGCTCTGTGTTCTGATGTGTCATTGTATTTGCTTGTTTTAGCTGCTAACAGTGAATCCAGAAAACAATTCTTTGGCATTGGTCTACAGAGATAGAGAGACTCTTAAATTTGTCAAGCATGTTAACCACCGAAGCCTAGAACAAAAGAAAACCTTCCCAAACAGAACAGGTTTCTGGGACTTCTCATTCGTCTACTATGAATGACGGGGCTGGGCGAAGCTGAGAAGAGAGACCCTTCATCGGCACTGGAAAGGCTGGAAGAGCTGGCATCCAGCAAAGGAGAGCTACAAGGTAACCTGTCTTGACACTTCTTAAAACCACGTGGTTGGCCTTCAACAGGACTCACAGTGATTGTCCTCAGTCTAGACCTTGAGCTTGGGGAGTTTTTAAATGTGGGGGTTTTTTGTGGTAAAATATGTAACATAAAATTTACCATTTTAACCAAATTCCACCGCATGTGGTAGTTTCTTCCCCACAGAATACCAAAAAATACCAACTCTTGGGTTCTCTCTCCCAGAGCAGTAATTTTTTAGCAAGAGGTTTTGGCTGCAGGATCCCTTCAATGCCATTTTATATACTTACCACTACTACTGAGTGAGAATGTACAAATCCCATTGGGAGAGTCTTTGACAGACAGACACCAGAGGCAGGCGCTCCAGTCTTCATGCACTGAACATTCCCACAAAAATTGATTCCTTCTCTGATTGACACGAAGTCAGTCCACATAGATAGTTTTGAAAATTACTTAGGAACTGTCATGTGGTATCATTTTAGGAAAAGCAGATTTCTGTACCATACAAATAAAAAGATAACTGAGGAGCCTGAGCACATAGTGTGGGCAGGGGCCAGATGGGAACGAGGGAAAAATGCAAAACACCAGGCTGCATGGGTGTCATCTTGTACTTTAGTTTCAGAGTGAAATGGGAGATAATTTAGTTCTGTGATCACAGGAGTTTGCTTTAGCAGATTTGTAACTGCTAATTATAAAAGTTAGAACTTCAATAATGTTGAAAATCAGTCTTGTAAAGCATGCCCAGAGTTGCATAATAGTTATAAAGTTCCTAGTTCTTTGATTTCTAAAACTACTGACGGCTGGCTGAGGACAAGACAGTCTCAGGGAGAGTAGCAGATGCTGTATGTGCTGAAGGCATTCGCTCAGCACTGTGGGGAGATAAAGCTGATTAAGACGAAGCCCCTGCTCTCACTTAAGAGGGACTTAAGATTTATATAAACAGGATGTAATGAGGGTTAAGGAATAGACATGGGAGAGGAACGGTCTCATGAGAAGAGAGCATTTCAGCTGAGTCTTCATGTGTGTGGATAGGCAGACATGGTGGGAAATCATACAAACCATTCTAAAATATTGAGTACCTGGTGGTGGTGACTTTTTCAAAGGGATGCTCAAAAAATGACTGAAAAGCTTTCTCCCAGATAGCAAAATCCTCAAGATCAGCTTTTACATAAAGGCCGAGTGTTCACTTAAAGCTTCAACAAAATTCAGCAACAAAATAGAGCTTAAAGTGTAGCTTCTAGAAGGCACCAGATTCCATCAGGATAGAAACCTAGGGAAGTAACTGATAACGAGTTTTTCTCATCCCTAAGTTGAATATGGTGACTTCTAAGAAAGGAAGGTAACTGAATGTTCTATGAACACTTTCATCTCATCCAGTCCTACTTGCTTGGGAACAGTTCAGAATAGCAGAAAGGGCCAGGACTACCTGGTTTCAAACCTCCACATGACTCACCAAACCAAGCTGTGGGACCCTGTAGGCAATAGTCTGCCTCTCTGAGCTCAGAGATACTAGGTCTAGGGGATCGGAGTGATGTGAAAAAACATTTACAATATCTTGCTTCTGGTTGGTGCCATCAAGCCTTGCCCGTGAATACTTTAAGGTCTAAGAAGGAAGTATTTTGACTAAAGAACAAGAGAAGGGTGAGATGAGAGTGTGCTATCAGGGTCCCTACAGAAGAAAAGTGCCATACAATTTAAAACCAGCGCCAAGTAGAGATTTTCACTTCAGTAGGTATAGACTATGGTTGAAACTGAAAAGGGCTCAACAGTAGGACTGGAGTTTTGCCGATAGCTCTACGACTGGCAAGTAATTAATCCCTGCATTTCAATTTCTGCACCTTTGAAGCAGAAGATTCTTTGCTACTTCAGGGATTACAAAAAATAAACACAGTATATTAAGGCTGTCTTTTGCACTTACAGTTAAAAATGCAAAACAAAGCTATTATAAGGCATAATCTCATTAAAATTAGGACTCCATAAAGTTCATCAGAAATAGAAGGCATAATCCTAAAGATCAACTGGAGGAATCTAGTAAAGTTCATTTGCCAGAGGAAAGGCCCCTCTCCCTCAACTACTTAGGAATGAATACTACTAAGATGTGAAAACGGACTAAACCAGTCCTGAAATCAACCTTAAGGCAAAATTTTAACTCTTAGAAAAGGAGTTGCTGCCCTGGCCAGTTTTGCTCAGTGGATAGAGCATCGGCCTGTGGACTCAAAGGTCCCAGGTTCGATTCCAGTCAAGGGCACATGCCCGGACTGCAGGCTCGGCCCCCAGTAGGGAGCGTGCAGGAGGCAACCGATCAATGATTCCCTCTCATCATTGATGTTTCCATCTCTTCTTTTCCCTTCCTCTCTGAAATCAATAAAAATATATTTTTTTAAAAAAAGAAGAGGAGTTGCTAGGTATTAGCCCCACTTCAGCTTTCTCTTCCTGGTCAGCATGCAGCTAGGTAACGTTTCCTGGCCTGGCAGTCAGGCGTGGCCACACTGGCTGTGGAGTACGAGTGGAAAGGAGTGGGCCGTTTCCAGACCACAGCCTTGAAAAGCTTTTCCTCTTCTGCTGGCTTGGACAGAAACAACTGCAAGGCCTTAGGACAGCCCTGGTCCAGTAGAGAGTTTCAAGTGAGAGGGAAGCCCCAAGGCCGTAAGGTCCTCACTGCCTGCAGTAGAAGTGGTCACCCCAATCATTCCTGAGGCAGGTGTCTCTAGAGCAGCGGTTGCCAGCCAGTGGTCCGTGAGGTCCGAAAGGTTGGCGACCGCTACTCTAGAGAACTCAGGCTGAGAAAGGCTGCCCTAGATATCCCTGAGCAGCTATAGAGAAATCTGACATACTGAGAAGTAAATGGGTCCTTGGGAATTCTGAGGCCTATTGAAGCAGTTAACATTACTCCAACCAATATATCACCCTGAACTTTTAATACAAATTTGTTTACACCCACCTTTCAATGATTAAAAATGAAGGCACACAAATGTAACATCCGTATTTTTTTCTCTGCACGTAATAGAAATGGTTTGTGCAATTCTGATGTGATGATTTTAAAATCAGGCAACACAAATTTTAATGTAAAGGTAGATAATATATTTTAAAATTACAAGTTCAATTACAAGAAAATAGATGTATCTATACATCAGCTTTACATATATGCAGAAATAATTGGACTTCGGAGCCCTAATATGTCAAAAGTATTCACTTCCCTCCATACAAACCTACTATTATTTGGCAACGGAACTACTGGATCTTAAAAACAGAAAGTGAATACACTTTTCAGATGCAGTGCTTTGTCTCTCGTCTGTACAGCTCACCGAGGTGGTTTTCATTCTCAGCACCCTCAGCTCACCAGGATGCGATCCAAGGCAAACCAACGTAGATTTTTAGGAACCAACACTTCCTAGGAACTTCACTACCTATTCCCTCTCCTACGAAGAAGTCCCCACCCGCATGATTCTGAACAGAGTGTTGATGTTGTTGCTTCGAATCGCGTCCCGACAAGCAGTGATCACCTGGTTCTTTGGTTTTCCAACTACATGAAAAGAAACAGCAAGTCAGTACACTCTGAAAGGTTATCAAAAGTGAAATTATAAATCAGAGGCCAGCTTTAAAACAGTGCGAAATTCAGGTAGAAGAGAGTTCATGGTAGTGCAAATTCAACTAAATTATCTTATCACTCCCTTAAAAAGATAACCTATGTGAGGAAGTTTATCACAAACCAAATCTAGAGACCATTTCAAACCTAGAAATCAAGTCAGTTTTATAGAAAAGGATCAAAGCTCATATCCACCTACCAAAGAGTATCTCTAAAAGGAAGTCAAAAGCACTGAACCCCAAACAGCAGATTTTAGGTAAAAATTTCTGGTTATTTCTGCTTCCTTTGGGTTACTTTATTGTTCTTTTTCTAACTTTTATTTTTTTATTTTTTTTTTTTTAAATATATTTTATTGAGTTTTCACAGAGAGGAAAGGAGATAGAGAGCTAGAAACATCAATGAGAGAGAAACATCGACCAGCTGCCTCCCACACACTCCCCACTGGGGATGTGCCCGCAACCAAGGCACACGCCCCTGACCAGAATCGAACCCGTGACCCCCCAGTCCGCAGGCCGACGCTCCATCCACTGAGCCAAACCGGCCTCGGCTTTTTCTAACTTTTAAATTGAACACTTAACTCATTAATTTTCAGTCTCCCTTTGTTTGTTTTAATAAGGGTATTTAAGGCTTTCCTCTGGGGTATGTGCCACTAGGTTTTTCTTTCAAGGATGCCGCAAGGTCTAAGAAAAGGAGCTACAAGCTTTCTTTCCTCTGAAATCTGGGTACTAACCAAGCTGAACAGGCTGACTAAAACTCAAGCAACTGGTGCCAGCTTGAGTGTTACAAGTCTCTATAGATACAGGCCTCAATATGAATTCTCGAAGCTACCACCATCTTCAGTGATTCTCACCCCCCAAATTACTAATAATAGCGCTATACAGAGACTTACCACGCAGACGGCCTGCTCTTTGAATTGCTTGATTTACTGCTTTGAGGTTTCCCAACAGCTCTGTGTGATTGTTACAGCGAATCTTATATCCATTTAGCAAGTCTTTATTAAGATCATAGAGCTCCATATAGCGATTCTTCATTGTTTTCCTGTGTAAATCAATAGAAATTGAACATCATTGTACCTCGATATGGCAGGCTTAAATGAAAAACGTGCAAACTTCTCAGACACAAAGAATAGAAGATACCAAATTCTTAGCTGTTTGTCATTAAAGCAGGGTAATTCTAAATTTTGCTTTGAAAACATTGAGAAGTTTCTATCAAAGTACTCTATTTCTTACAAATAAGTGGAAGGCAAGTGGTCTTCCTCTCTTATCAGTCCACAGTTTGTTTGAATTTAGGAGCCAGGAATAATCAAGTTCCCACTGTGCTGGGAAAAGTGAGCAAGGTGATCGCCTGTCTTCCAGGCTTCAGATTAGCATAATTAGACAAAATCTGCTAGACCTGCCCCTATTCATTTTCGCC